TTCCCTTTTCTTTCTTTTTCTTGAATCTAGGGCCTCACACATGCCAGACAAATACTGTAACATTGAACTCCATCCCAAATGGCCCTCTTACTTTCAGATTTTGAGACAAGGTGTCACTAAGTTGCGCACGCTGACCTTGAACTTGCTCTGTAGCTAACACAGGCATTGATCTTGCAATCCCTCTGCCTCAGCTCTTTGAGAAGCTGGGCATAAAAGCCTGCACCAACATTCTGGCTTTGTTTGTGGAAACTGCACTTTGTGATAAAACTTTTTGCCTCTCCTACCATTCCCTACCCTACCAACCAAGAAACGGTTTCAATTTGTTTTTCTGTGTTCAAAATATTCTAGTTCACTTGCACGTACCTTTGAAAATATTTTAAGCATTAATTTTCAAACTTTGGATACGAAGACCCTTTTGTACTCTTAAAAAATGAATGAGGGTATCGGAGAGATTTGTTTATTTGGATTAGATCTAGTGAAATATATCACATTATGAATTTAAGCATCTTGAAAACTATTCATGTTTATAATATTAAAATGGTAAGCTCATGAAGTGAGCCTAATACATATTCTTTGGAATAAAAATTTTAAACGAAAAGTACTTTGTGACAAGGAAGATTTTAATTTTCCGTTCTTTTTTATTTTATTATTTTTCTAATTTTATGTGCAGGACTATTTTGCCTGCATATATGTAAGTGTACCATGTGCATGAAATGCCCATGGAAGCCAAAAGAGGGTTTTGGATCACCTGGAACTGGAGTTAAGGATGGGTGTTAGCCCACCATATAAATGCTAAGAACTGAAGCCAGGTCCTCTGGTTCACTGAGCCATCTCTCCAGCTCTGGTTTTACATTCTTACATATTTTTAAGGAAAAAAATTAAACCAAAAAGTATTTTGTGGGCTACAGAGGTAGCTCAGGAGAGAAGAGCACTTGCTGCACTTCCAGAGGACCCGGGTTCGACTCCCAGCACCCACATGGCAGCTCTGTTGTCCTCTTCTGGCCTTTGAGGGCCTACATACACACTAGTATAATACTGGCAATCAAAACACTTGTACAAATAAAAATAAATAAAACACTTTTAAAAAATAGTACTTTGTGCTGGGCCTGGTAGCGCATGCATTTAATCCCAGCAATCAGGAGGCAGAGGCAGGAGGATCTCTGTGAGTTCGAAGCCTGCGTGGTTTACATAGTGAGTTTCAGGCCAACTGCGGCTGCAGGGCAACCCTGTCTCAAGAAGATCAAGGGAAAAAAAAAAGTACTTTGTGAGAAGGAAGGTTTTACATTCCTCCAAATCTTGCATTGAAGTGTATGAAGAAAATGACAGCTTCACATGACAGATAAATTTGTTAAAAAGGAGTATTTCAATAATCTTTTTGTATAATTATGGATATTCTCCTTTGATTCTACACTAAACCTATAGTAGTTCTATCAAAATTAGTTGCAATATGGAATTCACAAGCCCATGTTAATGGAACTTTTAATTCTCTCATACTAAAATCTGTTGGTATGTGTTTCCCTTAGAATGGCTCATTTGTCCATGAGTGGTTGTGTAGCATCGTACCTTTGCTATCTAAGTTTTTATTGATGGAACTATTACAGTCTCACAGATGCTGATACATTTAGTTGTAGACTATATAAACGAATCTGCTGTGTTGGTGTTCTTGCCAATTTCACAGCAGAGTGTTAAGTACACGAGAGCCCAACTGGGTGCTTTTTCAGCTGGCTAATGCCAGTGTGTATGATGCCTGTAATTATACAGTTTTGATAACATTACATAAATAGGTGAAGTATGATTTTGAAAAGAAAAAGAATTAATGTTTCTAAAATCAACCGAGAAAACTTACTGCTAAAAAAATCGCCATCATTATATAGTGGGGATGAGATTTGTATGTGATGAGAGAAAACTTTGAAATCTGGAAGGTTTCTGCATTCCTTTACAAAATCTTTAATTTCTTCCTGTATTATAAAGATATCAAGGCTTGAAATTGTGATGTGCTGTGCAGGAAAGAACACTAGAAATCCATCTGTAGACCCATACTCAAATAACAGGCTTTGACCCATCTTCAGATGGTTGGTGGATGTATAGACATATTAATGTGCTTTAAGTTGAAAGAAAATTCATAAATGTCTGCTTGCTTCTTTTCTTAATGATCCTCCCACTTAACTGGATCTTCCAGTAAATTGGTTATGCACTGGCCAGGATCACCTTGAATAAGATAGTTTTCCTGCTCCATCCATGGGTTAGGAGCAAAATTCTCTTTAGTTCTAAGACGGTAAAACACAATCTCTTTCATTATTGTACTTTGTATCGGGGTTGGATAAGATTGTGTTGGGGAAGGATTTAGATAAACTTCTAGAAATGCAGACAGCTTTGAAAATGAGGCTGGGGGGGGGGGCACTGAGCGATGACTCAGCAGTTAAGAGCTCGTCCATCATAGAACAATAAGCTTCAGTTATCCCTGACTAACTCCAGCCCCCGGGGCTCCAACACCTTATTCTGGCCTCTGCAGGCACTGTATACAAACCCTTACAGGGACACACATGCATACACATAATTAAAAACAAAAAATCAGTCTTTAAAGAAAACGATGTTGGAATGATCCAGAAAGTACCATATGCTATTTACTGGTGTGCTTTGTTGAGCTGGAAACCGCTTGAAAATAAAGCAAACTAAAGGACAGGGCCCAGAAAACTTAAAAGAAATTTGCACTACAATATTTTATGAAAGTCAAGAATTATATCCCATGTTGTATTTATAAAAATAGACTCATTGTTTACACAGGTGTGTGCAGGCTTGACAGGTGGTAGCAAGCCACTGACATCAGTGCCATCACAGCTACATTTATGTGCTGCCATTTATAGCTGCATCATTACATGGTACAGCGACACAGAGCTAGGCAGCAAATACATAGCCTGTCGACCTCGCCAATCACTATGAGCAGGGGAAGTTGTCTCCAACTCCCTGAAGGCAGCATGCAGTCCAAGTTGGTTTTCTTTGCAGGGGGAGGGGGAGCAGAGGTGTTCTAGAAGCAAGTTAATTCACACTCATTCTCTGTTTACAAGCTGTACACTGCTGGCAAACTTACTTGCCTTAGCAAGGCATCATTTTTTTAATATGATCAAGTGAGTTAGAAGCTCATCAATCTTAGTCTTTTTAGTACCAGACTAGCGCCAGGACAGCTAACCGGAATGTTATAATTATGACTAATGCAAAGAGATCCTTCCAAATTCCTGATTTCATAATGACCATATAATCATTGTAAGCAGTAAAGTAGTGTAGCCTGGTTTTGTAGGCATGTTCCTTTATTTATTTTTCTTCCTTTCCAGAACTATTAAGAGTCTCCTACGTGTCACACTCTTCTGTGGTTGGAGGTCCAATTGTGACTGCAAATAAGAAAAAAAAAAACCACCCTGCTCTTATAGGACTTAAATCCTAGCAGTACACACATACGCACTTGTACACACACACGCACGCACACACATACACACACACAATGCCGTCAGAAAAGCAAGAGAAATGAAATCTTAGTTTTGGAGAAATGGAATCTTATTTTTTAGGAATGTGGTAATTCTGACAGTGACCAGGTAAGGCCTCTCCAAGATTGCTTCTCCAATACAAATGTCTAAAGAGGCGTCTCTCAGAGTGTTTTCAGCATTCCTAACCTGAGGTCTTGGGGTTCACGGGGTGAAATATTGCATCTAATTTTTACGAACGCCAAATGAAATTTAGCATTGCTTTCTCATGGAGACAACCAACGTCACAGTATGGAGAAAACCCGTTACCTTGTCACAGAGCTAGCACAGCAGATTTCACTTTGTACTGCACTTATTCAGTCATCTCAGAATTTACACTCGCCACCTCCATAGATTATCATTAGTATCCTTGAAATTAAATGTTAGAATTTAATACCATAGTAACAAAAAGCATCTTTGTCATTTTAAAATATGTCTGTTGATAATTATATTTCAGAATGTGAGATTTCCTTGTGTCCTTGAATGCTATCTTTTACGAATTTGAAAACACCGGAGAGAGGAGCTAAGGGTCTGCCAGAGAGTGTTTGTAGCCCAAAGCGCTAAGCGTCAACTTCCTCCGTGACGAGTGCTTTCTTCCACCTCCCCAGTACCGTGCATTCTTCGTTTCTCTCTCTTAGAGATGACTCAAGTGCATCCTGAGCAGATGAGGAGGGTTTTCTGGATAATTCTTTAAGTTGTAATGATTGGGAAACATCTTTCTGTTTCCTGTTTGCTGCAGGCCACACACTATTAAAATATTTATAGAATAATGTATCCAGACTAACAAAAAATTGACTTCCCGGAAAAGTGATGATGCTATACTTCATAGAAAGTCAGTTTCTAGACTTCTCTGCAAGAATTCAAGGGATCCAAAGGCATTCTTTATATGAGAAAGAATGAGATGCAGGAATCTGAGGTCGAATCAGTTCTGACTGTCTCATTGCTCTTGTAGCCACTCTTCCCACGGTGGTATTGACTTGTAGGTCTGTTCAGACCGAGAGGTAATCGACCATTAGGCCTTCATGCTGACCAGCAGAAGGGCATACTATTAATATGCCTGTTCAGCTGTTTTTCCCGACGCAGCCTTGAAAAGGGAACTGAGAGCAGCTTCCACACTTGGAAAAGGAGGGGTGAGCACCGGCTGAGCGGGGCTCAAGGAAGTGTGCCTTGCCATTACATGGTCTGTACTTTATATGTCTTTGCATATTTTCTTATACCTCTCAAGAATGGAAAATCTAAAGTGAAAAAAAAAAAAAAAATCTTAAGTCTTGCTGTCACCAGAAGCCTAGGAGAGAAAAGTGCCAACTCTGTTATCTTCACATGAGACAGGCTTTGTGTCTCAGGTGAAGGGAAGTCTGTTCTATGTCATTAGCTGTCTGGGATTATGTCTTCATCCGTAGCCTGTAGCTCTCAGAAAGTCCCCTGTGAAGCGTGATGAAAGTAGAGAGGCCTTTGCACTCAGTTCCACATTATTTTTCTTTACAGGTTGGTAAAAGACGCCCCTTGGGATGAAGTTCCCCTTGCTCACTCCCTGGTGGGTTTCGCCACTGCCTATGACTTCTTATACAACTACCTGAGCAAGATACAGCAGGAGAAGTTTCTTGAAGTGATTGCCAATGCCTCGGGCTATATGTATGAAACCTCATATAGGAGAGGGTGGGGATTTCAGTACCTGCACAACCACCAGCCCACCAACTGCATGGCCTTGCTCACAGGAAGCCTCGTTCTCATGAACCAAGGTACGTGTGTGATCATAACACAGCCAGGGTGTTGTCTGAGCTGACATCAGTCAGAGTTGCCATGTTGTAAGCACACACATTTTTCTGACTATTTTTAGGTACGTGTTTATACTTGGATCCTAATTAAGCCCACAAGATAAAGTAGTACCCATGGTGCCTCTAAGTTAATTAAGGGACATTTCTTTTTTTTTTTTTTTTTTCTGGTCTTTTTGAGACAGGGTCTCCCTGTAGCCCCAGTTGTCCTGGAACTCACTATGTAGACCAGGCTGGCCTTGAACTCACAGAGATCCACCCGCCTCTGCCTTGCAAGTGTTGGGATTAAAGGTGTGTGCCACCACACCCAGCTTAGGGACATTTCTTTATTTTAGCTGGTTATATTAGCCTGCAGATTTTCTGATGCAGGCCAGTAATTGTCCCTTGCCATGTCCTTACCACACAGGATTAGTGCTGAATATTCAATTTTCTGGAGAGTTTTGACAGTGAAAAACAGTGAATTTAGAATAAATAGAAGCTTTAAAGCCTAAACAGGTTTTAAATTTGAAATGAGTATTTCTAGCATACCCATATTACAACCATCCATCTTCTCCCCCACCCCCCTAAAATCTCAAAACATCCAGTCTAGATCATTCAGGTCAGAATTGGAAGCAGCTTTTGTGGTTTGTATAGTTACTTTGCATTAACACATCACAGAATTGCCAGTGTTGTTCTTGTAACTCTGTTAATTACAACTCCTTTGGAAAACTGTAAGGGACTAGGATTTTCTTTAAGAAAAGCAGCTCTAAAGTCGTGGTGAATTATTAAAATATTAAATATATAATTGGAGCTTGGAAATCTAAAATAATTTTTACTTATATTGCCCATAAATAGTATTTCATTGGGCTGAGAATGTAGCTCAGTGGTAGAATGCTTACCTAGTATGTGCAGGGCTCTAAATTCAATCTCCAAAACAGAGAAGGAAAATAATTAATTAGCATTTTATAGATTACCCAACAGGAGTTTTTACCGATATCTAGCTTTCTTTCTGTTACACCAACCAACCATCACTTTTAGTTAGATCTCAATGGAAAAACTTCAACTGACAAGTCTCCGTACCTTGTATTGACAGAGTTTTCCATCCTGCAAAGTATTTTGGTAGACATTTCCTGGGGAGCTATTGAAAGAACAAATAAGAAAAATCAGGTAGTGTGATATCGAGTAGCCAGACTTTCAACGTTAGCCACATTGCTATCTGCCTGGTGATAGAAGACACAAGGAAGAAAAAGCTGATTGGAATTTTAAGCTCAGATTATGGAGAATGGATGTGGAGAACTAGTGAAAAGACTGACCTGTCCAGTGTGGAGCTGGGTGAAAGGAAGAGCCATGCTGCGACTAATAGTCCTGTAAAGAAGGCCTGAAACAGCTCTATCTCTTTAGCCTGAGGGACATGGCTTAGCGTTGGACCTGGGTTAGGCCCAGAGATACTGGGACCTGGGTCACTGCAGCTGGCTCACCGAGTAGCAGGCTCTGGCAGAGTATGGTAGGATGAGTATGAGACAACAGATTTGTGGAGTAAAGCAACAGGTTCCTCCCATATTAGGAAGCAGAAGCCCAATTAAAAAAATTGTTTAAGAACCATGTAATTAGTAGAAGCACTTCATTACAACAGCATTGACATAACCAATAACAATTTCCAGAGCAAAGATGCATCTCTTTCAAAATTGGCTGTAATTTGGTTGAATTAATATAGTTATACATTATTGTACTCAGTATAAACCCTATAAGACATAAAATGAATGAGGTTTTAACCTTTAAAAAAAAGATCTCCATTTCATTTTAAAGTATACTGTTTCATAGAGAAAAACTCATTTTTAATGCAACTAACACTTAGATGTTTGCACATGTGTCTCTATATCCCTGTGTGTGTTTTAAAGCCCTAGGCTCCGACCACAGTTCTGTTCTTTTTGAATCATATACCAGAGGTTTGGAGTAAATCAACTTTTCTGTATTTTGGGAACAGTAAGTCATAACTGAATTGTTGAAGGGATTAAAAAAGGTTCTGTTGGGTGCTATGTAGATTATAATATCAGGAGTTATTTTTAGCCAAGTCTTAGAATTCTAGAAAACTTGCATTTCTCTGTCCAAAGATTTTGTAAACATTTTTAGATTTTGAACTGTCAGTGGAAAGATTGAAAACTGTGACTCCGTGAAGGGGTATTTGGACAGAATCACATAGCTTGTTTGTGACTAACTCAGGATTCCCAGCTGATTAGATTTCCATCCCAGTATTACACCTCAGCCCCGTCACACTACCTGCTCAATCTGTGGAATCTAAGAGCACAGAGGGATGAGAGGTTGTTTTCTGTGAAGGTACAAATTGAAAACTGACTGCTTAGCATTTCCAAATTCTGTAGCTTATTACAAAATTTTATAAAGTAATATTGTACGTTTTGTAACAAGATAAATTTCAAAAAATACTTTCATGATTTTAAGAAAGCTAAGGAGTTCCAATGTACAGATCTAATTTTATACCAAAGTTATAGGCAACTTATGTTATATGCATGTGATTTTAGTTTATTAAAGATTGGAAAATGCTTGATAGACACAGGTTTATGTTTATTTAATTCATAAGTGGCCTGTATTCAGAAACTTCTTAACTTACATCATAGACACACTAAAAACTAGAACAGGATGTTATTTATCATTTTGACAAGTGAGAGTTTTACAAAGTGTAATTTGTAATAGTGTAATGACTTATGGGTTTATTTGGCCATATTTTTGTTCACATTCTGTTTCGGCCCTTAGTCACTGTGTTTATCCTGCAGGGTACCTTCAAGAGGCTTACTTGTGGACCAAGCAAGTTCTGACCATCATGGAGAAATCTCTGGTCTTGCTCCGAGAGGTGACAGATGGCTCCCTCTACGAAGGAGTTGCTTATGGCAGTTACACCACCAGATCGCTATTCCAGTACATGTTTCTCGTTCAGAGGCACTTTGACATCAACCACTTTGGCCATCCGTGGCTTAAGCAACACTTTGCATTTATGTATAGGACCATCTTGCCAGGTAGAGTGAAATGGGAAAGCATTACGCTGTTTCTGACCATGACAATGAGCTAGACTAGAAAAAGAAATGAACCTGGCGGGGCTCCTCATACTGAGATTGAAGATTTTTCAACTAAAGAAAATCAAACATTTTGGGAGCTAGCATGAGGATTTGTGATTAGTGTTATAAAGGGTGGAACATAATGGATCACATGCAATTTCTAGCCCCCACAGCACTTTTTAAAAAAGATTTTGTTATTTTTATTTTAGATCTATGAATGTTTTGCCTGCATGTATGTAAGTGCACTTGTGTCATGCAATGCCCTCAAAGGCCAGAAGAGGGCATTGGATCACCTGGAACTGGAATTGCAGACCGTTGTTAGCCACCATATGGGTGCTGAGAGCTGAACCTGTGTCCTCTACTAGAGCAGCCAGTGCGCTTAACAGCTGAGCCATCTCTCCAGATCCTTGCTTAATGCTATCACAGATTTTGGGTTTTAATCTTTTCTTCAAAACTATATAGACTCTAAATGAATATTAGATTATATATATTTTGTATTTGAAGCTTTTAATTTCTTTGAGTATTTATTGAGCTAAGGCATATAGCTCAGTGGTGGAATGCTTGATAAGCATGCACAAGGCCCCAGGTTTAATCAACCCCTAACACTCTGCAAAAATGAAAAAAGTAACACAACAGTGAAATACCATGCTGTGTATATTTGATCAAATATATTTTTGGAATAAATGCTGTAGAATATAGTGAACAAAACAAAATGCAATAAAACTTCTAATTATGTATTGTGAATCTAATATATATAATATATATATGTATATATGTGCAAACATATTTGTGATTTGGTAATTTTTTCATTTCTAGGACAGTGTTGTAATTCTCCTTATTTCTAAACCAGTACTAAGAGAAAATTTAGGAGGTAAATTTTCATCAGGGTAGATTTGTCCTTTGGGGGAATGGACTTTTTGGTTGGTGATTGTGATTGTTCCTAGTATAGTTTTTCTGTTGCTATGATAAAATACCCTGACAAAAAGCAACTTAGGAGAGAAAAAGGTTATTTTGACTTAGAATTGCAGAGGGATAGAGTCCACGTGATGTGGAAGACATGGCAGCAGGATGGGAAGGAAGCCGCCCGATCACACTCCATCTACACACAGGAAGCAGAGAGGGAACAGGGAATGGGGCCAGTGACTTACTTCTTCCAGCAAGGCTACCTCCTAAAGGTTCCATAACCTTTCCAACAGCACCACCAGCTGGGGACCAAGTGTTCAAGCACATGGCCCTAGGGGGACATTGTAAAATCAAACCACAACAGTTAGTTTTGATTGCCAGCTTGAAACAATGTTTAATCACCTGGGAAGAGAGTGTCCAGGAGGGATCGTCTAGATTAGGCTAGCCTGTAGGCGGGTCTGTGGAGAGCCATCTTGATTACGTTAATTGAAGTGGGAAGACATGCCCACCATTTCATAGCAAGGGGATTCTGAAGAGAGGAGAAAGCAAGCCAAGCACTAGCATGAATGCATCAATCCATTGCTCTTAGCTCTTGGCTGTGGATGTAATGTGACCAGCTGCTTTGAGTTCCTGCTGCTCTAACTTCCACAATGGTGGGCTGTAACCTGAAATTGTGGTCCAAATACACCCTTTCTCCCTTAAGTTGCTTTTGTCAGAGTATTTTATCACAGCAACAGGAAATAAAACTAAGAAAGTGATTCTAGAATGCTAACAAAGAATCCAGTATTTATATAATTTTGTTCATGTGTAGACTACGTAGAATCTCCTTTATTGGATTAGTCATCCAGGAACCACTGCAGGGGCCAAGGAGGTGGCTCAGTAGGAAAAGCATTAGCCACAAAAGTTTGACTTGAATCCCCATGTGAACCTTGACCCAGTAGTATGCACCAGTAATCCCAACACTACTGTTGGGGAGAGAAGTGGAGACAAGAGAATTCTCTGGAAACTTGTGGGTCAGCTAGCCTGGTGTATACAGTAATGAGCAGCAAGAGACCCTTCACAAGCAAGGTGGGCATCAGTGGCTGTCCTCTGACCTCCGCACACGCCAAGCCACTTATCATGTGCATTCCTGCTTTCCCACAGTCCAGGGCTTGCCCACACATTTGCATGCATATGTGCACGCACACACACACACACAAAGATAAAAATAAAACTTCATGGCAAGCTAACCATTTTAAGATTCAGTTTTGCCTTACGCTGAGAACTCTATTGCTTATTTTTAGACTTAGAAAAGAAACCTGCTCTGTACTTCTTGATAATCAAAGACTGTCTGGAGAAGGGACATTCAAAAGGTCCTAGTGTTTATAACTTGAGCTGAAATCTAACAGCCAGCCATCTCAAGGTTTGGGTCTGTTGTAAGCAATGAGTGTGGTCACTTCATAGGCTGGAAAAAACAGTAGGAATACCTTTAAAAGGGGCACTTAGCTATTTATGCTTACTAATCCAACAGACTTTTATTGAACATCTCTAGCCAAGCATTGTAATAGGCTCGGGGTTTAAAGAAGAATATATTGTCTGTTTTTAAGGAACTTGCAAGTTTAGTTTATAATATAATTTACTTGGAAGAGCATTCACAAGTTATTAGAAATCAAAACTATTAGGTCCAGATACAGCGATGGTAACATTTTAGAAAAAAATTCTCTCTTTTTTAAAAAATTATTTATTTAATACCCACATACTTAGAAGAAGCATTTCATTACAACAGCATTGACATATTCAATAACAATTTCCTGAGCTAAGATGCATCTCTTTGAAAATTGGCTGTAAATTTTTAGGTTTACAGTTGAATTATTACAGTTACACAATATTGTACTCAGTATAAACCCTATAAGACATAAAATTAAATGAGTTTTTAACCTTTAAAAAAGATCTCCATTTCATTATTAAAATACACAGTTTCATACAGAAAAATTCATTTTTAATGCAATTGACATTAAGCTGTTTGCACATGCGTTTCCCTCTATATATCTTACTATTACTAGTCACAGTCGGTTACTTTCTGAGCTCCTTGGCATCTGAGCATGGATATTAAGTCATCAGGTGGATTTTAATGGTAATGTTTTTCACATCTACTAATTATTAAGGAGCAAATTTTTATGCTTTGAAAAAATATTTTTTTTTACTTAATCATTATTAACACACTCCAGAGCAAGGATACATCTCTTTCAAAAGTCGATGTAAATTTTTAGGTTCACAGTTGAATTAATATAGTTATACAATATTGAACTCAGTATAAACCATGTAGGACATAAAATTAAATGAGTTTTTAACCTTTAAAAAAGATCTCCATTTCATTTTAGAATATATTGTTCCTTACAGAAAGACTTATTGTTTTTGCTACTAACACGGAAATGTTGGTGCACGCATCTCTAATATGTATGTATCTGATTATTACTAGTCATAATCGGTTGCACTTGGATCCTTGGCACTTGTGTTTTATCTAATTTTTTCAATCTATTTTCAACCATATTGTTGTGTTTTGTTTTGTTTTGTTTTTCCTACAGTTGATACTCTGGCAATGAATATTCTTGTCTGGTGCAGAATTTTCTTCCTTTCTCTTTCCCAAGAACTGGTAACATGCTGGTCTCTCTTCTGCTCTTCCCTAACTCTAGGAATAACACCTGTCTTACTGATCCTTGTCTTTTTCTCTTCTTTAAATTCTAGCAGTGTGTATTGGCAGACTCTTTCCTGGGAATTAAGTTTTTTGTCTTGAACTTTATATGTAGAGTAAGTATTACTTTATTGGAAGCCAAATTGAAGCACCTTACATTTCTATCTTGGCCTGGAATGCAGTTGATCTGTGGGAATGCTAGTGCTCACTCGAGCTTCAGGTCTTCCCCATGCAGAAGGTGGTTCTCATCCTAGGTGCAAGTCAGTCATAGTATGGGCACTGACATTGAGGAGGAAGGGCAGTGTATACATGCTAACAGGTATGTCATATCTGTTACCAAGTTGCTACGTAACAAATTCAAGCCTGAACGGATTTGTGGAAGACTTTAGGAGTGATTATGATAAATTACTGTGAGGTAGAACACAGATAGCACAGTTTAGTTTATATTTATCTAAGGTAAACCATTGGTTCTAATTTTAAACTAAGTTTGAAAATCATTGTTTAGACCTTTATAGGAATATACAGTTTTAGATATATCTTAATCTTTTCATACCTTCTTTTGCAGGGTTTCAAAGAACTGTGGCTATTGCAGACTCAAATTACAACTGGTTTTATGGTCCAGAAAGTCAATTAGTGTTTCTGGATAAATTTGTCATGCGTAATGGGAGTGGAAATTGGCTGGCTGACCAAATCAGAAAGAACCGTGTGGTAGAAGGTCCAGGCACACCATCCAAAGGGCAGCGCTGGTGCACTCTACACACGGAATTTCTCTGGTATGACATGTTGGACTGGCTTTCAAATGAGATGGTACTCAGGCTCCTTTCAAGACCCTTCTCCACATACCTAAGTATATGCAGCTTTAACTCAGCTCCTTAATATTTCTTTACCTTTCTATTCTAATTACTATGTGGCACTTCTTGGTTCTCATACTAGAGATGTCCTAAGCTTATACTATTTTGTAAATGAGCCTGCTTTGATTTTACACTATTTTTTAAATCATGTAAGAGAAAATCATGAAAATTTAGACCAGATTAATCTGATGATTATACCCCCCAAAAGTAGTAAAAACATTTTGTTTTGTTTTGGTAAATGGAGCATTATAATCCTCTAATGACAAGGTTGTTCCTAAGTTTCACAGCTGTTTAAAAGTGTTCCATAGTGTGTGACAGCTTCACTTTGATACTAAAAAGACTGTGTAATTTTTTGTGCCATAATCTTTTAATCCTGTAAGAAGCTTGGGTCTTGTGTTTTTAAGTTTTGCCAAGTGTGTTGGCATCCAATAAGTTAAAATCAAATGACAGGGAGCCAATTAATTATTCATCCTTGAGTCTTTCAGAGTGATTGAAATTCGCATTCACACCCCAAAACAGCTTTCTGTAGTTTGCTTATCTTTATTTTATTTTTTCAAAATTAAACAAGGGGGGGGAAATACTAGTAAAACAGTAACTGTCTATTGTTTAAACAGCATTTTAAAAATATTTTCAAAGATGAATTACATTATATGCAAGCATTCTTTTGCCTCTTTCATGGGTATGTAGTAATAACTTGGTAGCATTTCACTTGCCTATAAATAAGCAACCAAGAGAATTCTAGAACGCTAACTATAAGAGTCAGATTAATGCTGTATCAAAACTTTGAAGTTTGCCTTCATAAGGGTATTCAAACCAACCAAAAGTTGAAAAGATGATGATGGTTCAGTTTGTATGTGTATTTGTTCAGTCATATTAATTAAGCCAACATTGTACTAGACCTCAGCAGGGACATGGTTTCTGATGATCTGAAACTGAAACTCTAGAACTACAGGTGAAATAGAGAAAATTATACACCAGTAAGACTGACTCATTGATAGGGAACTGGTTCACTGGGCAAAAGTATGTTAGAGCTAGTAATATGGGTCTCTGAGCTGCAAATCATATGACTCTTTCAAGTCAGGTATCCTAGCCCATCAAAACTAATCAAACCTGTGTTCCACTGTGGAATTCTAATAGGTATCATATTACATTAATGAACATTTATCACAAATAAAAATAAGCCATTTCTTCTCTAAGAAGCATGGCGTCAACTCAAATTAAAGCAAAGTTGATCTGGAGAGATGGCTTAGCATGTAAAGTTACTTGTCCTGTAAGCCTGGAGACCCAAGTTCTATCCCTAGAGTCCATGTAAAGGTGGAAGGGGAGTACCAACTCCTTAAGGTTGTCCTCTGACCTTTACATACATGCCATGGTATGCATGTACACATGCATACACACACAAATAATAACAACAGCAAAGCAAAACCTTTGGATCTGGGCTCAGCAGTAACCATAGGTTTTGACCTACCAATATTAGTTTCTTTGAATTCCATCCATTTATGTACTTAAATATGCTAATTACAATAATGTGTGGAGTTCTCCCCTATTTTATATCTTTAGAAGAAAAAAGTCTGAAGGAAGAACTGATCTCAGGCCAAACATTGAATAATATCGGTTCCTATAGAACAGTTCTCCCTTACAGCTCCAGGCTCATGTTTGGGTCCAGATCCTAAGGTGGGGCTTTCTAGAATAAGCGCCTATTGATCAAAATTTTGGTGAAATGCTTTAATTCATGAACCCCAGCGTTTTGGCTAGCAACTCTGAAACTGTCAAATAAAGAACGTTCAAGTAGAGGTTAGCAGCAGAAATTGTTTCTGTTCCTAGCCCAGGATCACAGGTATAACCTGTGTCCCCTTCCAGTCACCAGTGATTTTCCTTGTACCTTGTTCTTTATAACCTGTGAGTGTTTTCAGAAACATCCCTTATACAGCCTAGCATTCGGATATGGTATATTTCATCCACATGACCATGTCTAGTGAGTTATTTTCACTTCCATCAGAAAACCATTTAATCTTAAAAATTAATTCCTTCAGGTATGATGCCAGCTTGAAATCAGTTCCTCCTCCGGATTTCGGCACCCCAACACTGCATTATTTTGAAGACTGGGGCGTTGTGACTTATGGAAGTGCACTGCCTGCAGAAATTAATAGATCTTTCCTTTCCTTCAAGTCGGGAAAACTTGGGGGACGTGCAATATATGACATTGTCCACAGAAACAAATACAAAGATTGGGTCAAAGGATGGAGAAATTTTAATGCAGGGCATGAACATCCTGATCAAAACTCCTTCACTTTTGCTCCCAATGGCGTGCCTTTCATTACCGAGGCGCTCTACGGGCCAAAGTACACCTTCTTCAACAACGTTCTCATGTTTTCCCCAGCTGTGTCTAAGAGCTGCTTTTCTCCCTGGGAGGGTCAGGTCACAGAAGATTGTTTATCAAAATGGTCAAAATACAAGCACGACCTGGCAGCTAGCTGTCAGGGGAGAGTAGTTGCTGCAGCGGAGAAAGATGGGGTTGTTTTCATCCGAGGAGAGGGTGTGGGAGCATATAACCCCCAGCTCAACCTGAAGAACGTTCAGAGGAATCTGATCCTCCTACACCCACAGCTTCTTCTCTTGGTAGACCAGATACACCTGGGAGAGGAGAGTCCCGTGGAGACAGCAGCGAGTTTCTTCCACAATGTGGATGTTCCTTTTGAGGAGACGGTGGTAGATGGAGTCCACGGGGCTTTTATCAGGCAGCGAGATGGTCTCTATAAAATGTACTGGATGGATGATACTGGCTACAGTGAGAAAGCAACCTTTGCCTCAGTGACTTATCCTCGGGGCTATCCCTACAATGGGACAAACTATGTGAATGTCACCATGCACCTCCGAAGTCCCATCACCAGGGCAGCTTACCTCTTCATAGGGCCATCTGTGGATGTGCAGAGTTTCAGCATCCACGGAGACTCCCAGCAGCTAGATGTGTTCATAGCCACCAGTGAACATGCCTATGCAACTTACCTGTGGACAGGTGAGAGCACAGGGCAGTCTGCCTTTGCACAGGTCATTGCAGATCGACAGAAAATTTTGTTTGACCGGAACTCGGCCATCAAGAGCACCACTGTACCTGAGGTGAAAGACTACGTTGCTATTGTGGAACGGAACCTGCAGCATTTTAAGCCAGTGTTCCAGCTGCTAGAGAAGCAGATTCTGTCCCGAGTCCGGAACACAGCTAGCTTTAGGAAGACTGCTGAGCGCTTGCTGAGGTTTTCAGATAAGAGACAGACAGAAGAGGCCATTGACAGGATTTTTGCCATATCCCAGCAGCAGCAGCAGCAACAAGGCAAGTCAAAAAAACACAGAAGGGTGGACAAACGCTACAAATTTGTGGATGCTGGCCCTGATATCTTTGCACAGATTGAAGTCAATGAGAAAAAGATTCGACAGAAAGCTCAGATTTTGGCACAGAAAGAACTGCCCATAGATGAAGATGAAGAAATGAAAGACCTTTTAGATTTTGCAGATGTCACATATGAAAAACATAAAAACGGGGGCTCTGTGAACGGCCGCTTTGGCCAGGCACGCATGGTGACTGCAACTCACAGCAGAGCCCGGTCACTGTCAGCATCATACACCAGACTCTTCTTGATTCTGAACATCGCAATCTTCTTTGTCATGCTGGCGATGCAACTGACCTACTTCCAAAGGGCTCAGAGCCTGCATGGCCAAAGGTGTCTTTACGCAGTGCTCCTTGTGGACAGCTGTGTCTTACTGTGGTTGTATTCCTCTTGTTCCCAGTCACAGTGTTAGCGCTCAAACCTTGGTCACTTTATGATCATGAGAAGTCTATGCAAACAACAGTCACTGCCCCAATTTGTTATAATTTTTTCCCAGACTCATTTGGGCAAGGTAAGGGAAAACATCTTCACACTTCCTAGTGGAGAAGTCTGAACTGGATCAGGCAAAGAATTTGTCTAAAGTGCAAAATGCCTATCAGCCCCCTAGCTTTGCTGATTTACCAGACAAGTCTGTTCTTTAAGTGATATTTTTCTTAATATAAACAAAACCAATTTAGATAGTATTGGGCTTTGTTATCATTAATTTAATGCTGTTAGAAGCTTTCAGTACTATGTTATGGAATGTACTGAGATACACAATTTCCAGAAATACAGGCCTTTAAAATATGAATGGTAGGAATTATGGTTATAGGAATTGGATCACTATTCAGATACCGTGGTAAAATTATGTCAGAAGATCATTAAAAAGCTAAATAAATATTTTTAATAGGAAATGTACAGATGAACATTTCCTTGATGGTCTCTGCAGGTATGTAATTTGTTACTTTTATTCATTCATTGCTTTTTCAATAAATAACACATAACTGAAGTTTATATTTTCTTTCTGTGGAAAATGTTTGTAGACCCAATGATTAGACTTTTCAAAATAAACTATTTTATATCCTGTATTTGAATACCAAAGGACATAGGAACTCTGAAATTTGGGTATGATTCTTAATGTTTTTATTAGAAAACTTTCATCAAGTTTATTTTGCTAAATAAACCAGTCATGACTATGATACTGTTTTCCTCTGGTTGTTGCTTCTTCTGTCTTGGGTAACATTAAAAATGTATTCACCTTTTCCAAAATATTTGAAGAGAGAGCTTCATTCGGACGTTAAACTTACAAAACAGTTTGATTTAAACACACACACACACACACACACACACACACATACAATTTCCTTGTTTATGTTTTTCTTGTTTAAACACATTTTAAACATTTAACACAGAAGCCACTTTCTGGTTACTTAAGTGACACAGAGCTTTTTTTTTTTTTTTTAAAGTTTTCATAGTTATGTGTAATCAAATACTCTGGATATGTAATCCACAGTGGACCCTTGAGCAGAGTAAATGGTACACTTGAACTTGAAGCATAAATTATCCTCCATGCAGTATATTTGAGTCTGATGTATTTCTCCCTTGGAAATAGAAACAGTATTGGACATAAATTTTAGAATAAGGACATGCTTGCTAGCTTGTAGAGCTAAGTATAATTCCAGCCTTGCCTCTTATGGATCTTTTTTGTTCATGGAAACACCAATAGGCATCAAAATCCAGTACCCAGAGAAACTTTTTGAGCGCCTCTTTGTGACTCCACTGTGATCATTTTACATAAAGAAAACACGTTTGACTTTAAAAGTGTTTTGCTCATTATACTTGGAATCTAGAAAATGACTTCTGAGTAAGTATTTTTTCCTCTCTCTCACGGAGTGTCTCTAGGGAGGATGTCATTACACACTGTTTAAAGAATAATGTTTTCAAAAGAATAATGCTTCCGTTGGTCCCGCATGGATGCTCTTACTGGGATTTAAGCTTGCTTTATGTGACAGATTCTCCATTTACTTAACCTCATTTGACATTCCTCTCTTTTACCCTTTCTCATTCAAAAGACAGAAATGATCAAAAGGATTTTTTTTTTTAAATACAGAGGGCAGAGTTACTCTTTGAGGTTACCAAGAAAACCTGATCTCAGATACAAAATGCAGCCATAGTTTGTACAGAAATGAAAAATCTAAGCCATAGCCAAATCCAGCTTTGCTTTTGCTTTTATTAGGTTTGGGCTAGACAACACATTCGTCACCAGAGCATGATCCCATTGAACTTGTTACTTCATTTTTAAAGTAGCTTTAAAAATAATAGGTGTTTAAAACATAATGAATCACTTACGTGGGCGTTTCCACTTCTAATGAATGTTGGGATTTTTGTTATTTCATTTTAAAAGAAATTTCTTGATTTAAAAGAAACTTCAGAGGTTTTTAAATAGTTAAAAAAAAAAAGTAGTGCTGAAACAAATCCTAGCCTTTCTTAATGAGATGTTTTATATCAGGGATAGTACATATTTGAGTAAAGCTAAGGAACTCTTCATATCTTCAATTAAACCAAGCAGTGCTAGATCTGCCTTGAAACTGCACGGTCTGATGTGGGATCTGCCTTAGCGCTACTCACAGTGAAAGGAATGTTTCAGGTTTATGGTTAATATATGAGCTGTTCAGAATTGGCAAGACTTCAGGTCCTAACCTGAAAGGCGATGGTGAGCATCGTAGCTCACAGAGCTTGTCTGTGCAATGGAAACAGCATGCCCCATGTTTGTAGTTGATTAGCTTTTAAGCAGCTTCAGTGATGCTGTAAAAACTTTTTGGATATGGTTGTTACACTTGTTAAAGTCAGTTGAAGGGGTTAGGGAGGTGGCTCAGTGGGTAAAGTGCGCATTGCATAAGCATGAAAACCTGAGTTTGACTCCCAAGCACCCATGTAAAAGCTGGGCAAGTGGTGTGTGAATCTGTAAGCCCAGTACTGGGGAGGCAGACGCATGCAGATTCGTGGAGCTTGCTGGGAGTCTGTCTAGCTGAAATGGTGAGCTCCGGAAGAGACTCTGTCTCAGAAAAATAAAGTGGAAAACCACAGAGCAAGCCACCCGATGTTGGCCTCTGGCTTCCACATCCTTACACACAAGTATGAGCACACACACATGAAGTCAGATGGCAGACTTTATTCTGAGATTTTTCAGTAATGTATTGTATCACCTAGAGTGTTCTTCCAAAAATGTTTAAATGCCACAGGAAGAAAGAATGTTTTAACAGAATAGTTTGCACACTGGATGATATGTTTTGGTTTGGTTTAGGTCTTCCTTCCTTCCTTCCTTCCTTCCTTCCTTCCTTCCTTCCTTCCTTCCTTCTTTCCTTCCTTCTTTCCTTTTGTTCTTTCTTTTTCTTCTCTTGTCTTTTTTGTTGTTGTTATTGTTGTTGTTGTTTTGTTGCCCCTGTAGCCCCAGCTGTCCTGGAACTCGCTATGTAGACCAAGCTGGACTTGATCTCACAGAGATCTGCCTGCCTCTGCCTCCCAAGTGCTGGAATTAAAGGTGTTTACTATCACGCCCAGCTGATAATATGGTGGGGTTTTTTTGTTTTGTTTTTAAGAAAATTTTACATTACGAATTACTGACGCTCTAAGAATTTTTTTTTCAGTACGAGGGATTGAACCTAGGCCCTCATGAATGTAAGCATGCACTGCATGCACTGTCCTTCTGAGGTATATCCTCAGACCTTTTATAATTTTTTATTTTGACTCACGGATACCATAGCTGGCTTTAAACTCACTCTGTAAGTCAGGCAGGCCTTAAACTTGTACAGGATTAGAGTTGAGAAATTCTTCTTAGTTTGTAAGCCACTCTCTAAAGAAAACTGAAATGTCTCCAAATCTTAAGAAAACTCAAACTATGGAACATCATACTGTGTGTTTAAAAGTAAAATCAGGGGCTAGAGAGATGGCTCAGTGGGGTGCTCTTGCAGAGAACTGGGACTCGGTTTCCAGCACCCACATACATAGCAGCTAACAACCACAGGTAACACCAGTTCCAGGGGCTCTGACGCCCTCTTCTGGTCTCTATGGGCATTGCATGACAGGCACATTATTATATACTTGCAGGGAAAACACTCATACACATAAAACAATAAAAAATTAAGTAAATTCAGGGCTGGGGAGATGGCTCAGCGTGTAAAGGCATTTACCACACAAGCCCGGTGACCTGAGTTCTATCCCTAGAACCCACACAATAGTGAAAGGAGAGAACCAACTCCACATGTGAACCTCCCCTTCCACATGTATGACCTAGATTCCATCCTTAGAACCCATACAATGGTGAAAGGAGAGAACCAACTCTACATGGAAACTCTCCTTCCACATGTGCCCCATAGTGTGTGGGACACACACACACACACACACACACACACACACACATAAATAGTAAATTTAAAAAATTTAAGTAAGTTCATTTGCTTACTTAGAAATGTAAAAGATTAACATGAACATAGCTACGGATAGGAGGGCCATGTGCTTTACCTTGAAAGCTAGGATATTGTTGACAGTTAAAGAGGAACAGTTAGTACTTACTCCAGGGTAACGGATTAAAAATCAGGACTGTACTGATAAACTGGGAGATGTGGACATCTTTGTAGGAAATTTACTCATGGGAAAAGCAGTCGGGTAAGTGTGTGAAGGTCTAACTCAAAGTTCAGCGCTAAAGAAAGACTTAAGGAAACTCAAGGCATGGAAAATTATACTGTACATTTAAAAGTAAAATCAGGGGCTAGAGAGATGGCTCAGTGGTTAAGAGCACTGGGTGCTCTTGCAGCAAATGTAATTGAAACCGTCATCTACAGATGAAGAAATTGGGACTCTAGCAAAGGGGGGCAGTCTCTCCCTTCTCCCCGCCCTGTGCTTCTTTAATTTCCATTGGCAAAGTTCCTTGGCTGGTTTGTCTCCTCTGTAGGTTCATGGCAGCTTCGTTTTCCAGTAGAGGTGACGTGCTTGTAATGTTAATGAAGTACTGGCATGTTCTCAAGGAAGAGCAGAGAGGAATCCCTTCTATACCATGCTCCAAATACTTAGTCTCTGGCCATCTATTTTAGATGGCTGCTGACCTGAGGACTCTATGTAAATCTTGCTTCCAGGCTCCCATGTTGTCCTTTTCTTCACGGACCTCAATGTAGTGAAACATTTCCTCCTGGGATTCCTAAGAAAAGATGCATGTGTTTGAAAAACAACCAAGCAACAAGTGGAAGCCTTTTCTCTTCGCTTGAACCAACAATTCTTGGTTGGAAATGACTCTTCCTCAGAGTGAACGTGTGGCTCTGTGATCTTCCTTATGGTGTTGCTGTTAAGTCCCTTTCTGCATTTTATCTTGGGCAGAGCTGTTTCGTTCATTTGCCTGTTTGTTTGATTGGTTTGTTGGGGGGGAGGTTGCATGTGTATATGTGTGTGGTAGTGTGAGTGCTAATGGGTGTACGGAGGGGCGTGTGTGTTTATGTACAGGCCAGAAGCTGACAGTCTAGTGTCTTATGCAATCTCAGTCTTCTTCGATCTCTCTTCACTTTATTTATTGAAGCAGAATTTTTCTGAGCCCAGCACTCACCAATTCTGGCTACGAGCCAGCTTGCCCTGTCTCTGTTTCCTAAATGCTGGGATTACAGGTAGCTACTACAGCTGTCTGGCTTTTTATGCGGTTTCTAGGGTCTAAACTCTGTTCCTCATGCTTTTGGGGCAAGTCAAATGAGCTGTCTCCCCAGGCCCCAGAGCAGCTTTATCCAGACAATCTCCAGTATTCTTCCTAGTTAGTTGGTCAGGGGAGACAGGAGAGGGGTTGATTTAATGGGCCGCATCACTTACATTCCCAAATCAGGCAGCAAAGGAACTGGATATGTCATTTGGAGAAGGTAGTTCATGCATTTTAATGTTGTTGGCTCTTCGGGCCTGAAATTGGAAGTGGTTGAAGATGAGGCTAGGCAGATGTATCAACTCTTTGCCTAGAGAGACATAAACAAATGCCTGTGCCCTGAGCACTAATGACAAACTGAAGTATGATTCTACCAAAGTCCAACTTGGAGAACCACTGAAATGTTTGGATTTGAGACAGGATCTTGCTATGTAGCCTTGACTGGCCTGGAGCTCGCTGTACAGATCAGGCTGACCTCTGCCTCCTGAGTGCTGGGATTAAAGACGTGTCCACCATACACAACCCAAGTTTA